GATATTAATGCCAATTAAAATTAATTGATAAATATCCTAGCAAGAATAATACGTGACAAGATATATATGTAAGGATATGCAAATAACACAAGGGTGAAACAAACAAATGTAAACAATATAGTGGACAAACTAAATAATGAGACAAAGGCGAAATAACACAAGGGTGAAACAAACAAATGTAAACAATATAGTGGACAAACTAAATAATGAGACAAAGGCGATATGAGCAATGAGCACAAATATAAATGGTAAACAATATAGTGGACAAACTAAATAATGAGACAAAGGCGATATGAGCAATGAGCACAAATATAAATGCATACCAATGCAAACTCAAACACAATCAAATGATCACGGAGTTCGGACCTTCCATCCTACATCTCCGTTCCCCACTTTCGAGGAGAATGCACTACACAACCGGGTTTTCGATGCTCACCCGAATAACGTTTACACCTCACATTCGGTTTTCTAGCTCACCAAAAACTTTACAATAAACACTCTTGCAATCACACTCTACATCCTCTAAGTGTTGGTCTCTAGCCTGTATCTCCCTCAAGTGCTCGGATTTACAACTTCTCCCTTGGTTTTACTACTAACGTCACTCCTCTTGGGATGACCCCATCTCTCACCACACACTCCTCTCGGTGTACAAATATATTACAAAGTGTATCTTACAATTAAGGCTCACTACAACAAATGTTTGTTCTCTACTATGGATGAGAACACAATAAAAGCTTTCTCAATGTCACAAACCCACAACCCCAAATTATACAGTGTATGCAAATACAATAAGCTCAATAGGTTGTGTGTGAACAATGAGTAAAATCAAATATTAACTCAATTTAATCTAGCAAACATAAATATGATAAATTAAGCATAAACAGGCTAGATAATGAGTTTAAGAAAACTTCTCTAAAACAAGACTGGAGGGATGTAGATTAAGCCCAAACAAGAATGGATAATCTCCTCTTCCTCTTGTAAAAATTTCTTCACAAAACAAACTCTTAAATAAACACTAAAACAAACTTAAACACCCTTTAAATTTGTTTAAAAACTTTCTTGGATGGTTTTTGGTCTGAGGTATGAGGGGTATTTATAGGGACCCCAAAACATATGAAAATCAAAGCAACCAAAACAGGATAAGACTGAAAAATACTAGCCGTTACAGCATCAGTCGACTGACGGGTTTCATCAGTCGACTGATGAGCTGACCGTTATGGGCATTTTTTAGCTCATCAGTCGACTGGCGACCTTATCAGTCGACTGGCGACCTTATCAGTCGACTGATGATCTTATCAGTCGACTGGTCAGTCGACCAACATAAAAACAGAAACTATTGATGATTCTAGACATTTTCATCAGTCGACTGAACGCTTTCATCAGTCGACTGATAACACAATATCAGCCTATTTGAATAGTAAAACTGATTTTTGAAGTGCTTTTAAAAATAGCAAATAAATTCTAAAAAATATAAAATTTTGGAAAATATTTATAAACATGTTAATGAATATGTTACAAAAAGAATTTTTACAATTGCACTTCTCATTTTTGAAAACTCATCATTTTTCAAAACTAGTCTAAAACATGAAAATGAACAACACTTGTTTTTGACATTTTAGCTAAACCATATTTTGAAACTTTACAAAATGATTTTATAGACTTTATAAACCTAGAACTAAATTACCCAAGCTATAGGTCTTCAATAAGCTCGACTTGGTACACTTGCGGATGAAGCCTGAACTTGAATCTTTAACTTGAATTGCATTGCTTCATTCCACTATTCCGCCAACCTCTATTGGATATGATCGTTGAAGATCGATTCCATCCATCCTCCGATATATTGTTTGCCTAGAATAAATAAGAAAACACAAACACTAGACAATATTACATGTAAATTGTTTGTTAAAACATCATCAAAACAAAAAGGCCAACACTCACAAAAACAAGGCGGCTGTTGATCTTGATATCCAAGAGTTCACAATTAACATAACCAGTGTAACCTAAGAAGATGACGATAGCATGTCAGATCCAATTTATTCTCCTGGCATTAAAAGTATACATTTGAGGCTGATGGCATCTATTGCCGCACTCGAGAGAGACAAGGGCTAGCTATCCCCTTTGACCACTCTATTTTGAGATCACCTATTAAACAAACTCCTTCACAGGTGGATCATCTTTTTTCTAGCGACGCTAACTTAGTCGTAACATCAAGAATAACTCCTAGCTCAAGTCTAGGTTGGGAGAAAACTGCCGACATGTCAGATAGAGAGTCCATCAATGACCTTAGTCTCAGAATTAAGGCCCTGATAGGGGATGAATAAAACCTAAGTTATAAGTGCACAACTATCAACACTAGTAGAAAAACGAGCAAACTAGACGGAACAACCTAGACGGAATTGAATTCCGTCTTAGTTTGAGACAACTTAGATGGAATTATTTCTGTCTAGGTTGTTCCGTCTAGTTTGAGTCATTCTAGGTAGAATTTTTCGTCTAGAATGCCAAACTAGATGGAGTTTTCTTATTTTTTAAACATTAAGAAGCAACCTAGGAATTTTCGTCTAGGTTGTGCTTAATAATAATAATAAAACCCTAACCCTATCCCTCCCCCCACCCCCATTTGTCCAACCCGCCCTACCCGTGAGAAACCCTAACGCTAATCTCTCTTTCCCGCCGTTCTCTCTATCGCTTCTCACTCTCTCTCTCTCTCTCATCCCTCTGCCCTCTCACACGCGCCGCCCCCCACCCTCTCTCCTCTCGTCGGCACCCCTCGCCCGCTGTTCCCCTACCCCCGCCCCTGCTCTACTTCTCGCCCCCTAAACCCTTCTCCTCTGGCCAACCTACTCGATGTCCCCTACCGCTCATACCCTCTCTCCCGCTCCTCTTCCCCTCCTAACCCTCTCGTACCATTCGCCCCCCCTCTATTAGCCCCTACTACCCCTCTCCTAACCATCTTCCCCCTCCATGCCCGCCTCCCCCACTACCTCTATCACCGTCTCCTCTCCCTCTATTGCTTCACCCCTGCCCTCTCCTGCCCCTCCCCCCCCCCTCAATTATAAAAATTAAAACCCTAGCTTCCCTCAGGTGTTGTTCCCACAACTAATTTCTCAGCCCAATAATGACCACTGTCTCTCATCTCTTTGAAATGTATGATTTTTATGAAACGTTAGAAATTTCTAATTTTTATATTGTTTATTACAGAATTTAGTTTAAAATTCATAAATTATGATGTAAAAAACAACCAATTCATGATAGTCCGTCACTCCTAATTATGATGTAAAAACTATAAGTAGGTGTGATTATTTAAGTTTGTGATGTGAAAATATGTAAAATAAAATATTTTTAAAAAATAGAGTGATATATAACACATTATAATTTTAATAATGTGTTATAATCCAATTTAGATGAATGAAAAAAATAACATTATCCCTACACTTGTGTCTAATAATTACATCTAATTTTTTGGACTTATAATATAAGATAGACGACTCATATTTGGGTAGGAGACGAAATTTTCTCCAGAAATGATCGTTTATTTTATATTATACGAATAAAAAATCGGTACTGAAATTCGTAATTGTTAGATTTGTCCTTCTCGGACCGGTTAGGAATATAGTAATGCATACATCCAACTTTGTATACTTTATATATTTTTATTCTTGAAAGTTTGGGCAGCATGTATTTATTGTTCTCCGCGTATAATAAGCATATGTTATTCTATATTTCAGACTATTACCGATACACATAATAACATTTACACAGTGTACATGGAGAACAATGGGTAGGTGTTGCCAAAATTTTTAAGAAATAAAAATATACAAAGTATACGAAGTTGGATGTAAGCACTACTATATTCTTAATAGATAGAAGCCTTCCTATGACAACCGCTAGATTGGTGTAATTAGTTTCTATGTACGTTTCAGATATATTTTATCTAGAAAAATATTCATATTGTTAAATAATATATGAATGTATGTTTGATGTGTGTTATATGTATATTGTCACAAAGAGACATAAATGTACTCGTAGTTGTGAGATTAATCATAGTTAATAATTATATATAATTTACAGATGAATATAATTCCTGACAAATCATGGATAGATATCCTACGGCTTCATAGATTTTGTGACACGCGATACAAGGTGGGATGTGACGCCTTCATACATTGCTAAAATGAATCAGAGAAATTTAGGAAGTGGTGCTATGTATTGTCCTTGTTGTAGGTGTAGGAATATGAAGCTGCTGAATAGAAATGATATACGGATCCACCTAATAAAATTAGGTTTTGATGAAAAATATAAATATTGGTCATATCATGGGGAAGATTGTACTGAATATGAGGATCCAAATATACGTGTTGGTACATCCGGTGTCTTACGGATAGATGACACAGAAATAATATTGAATGATATTTTTCTCGACCTACAGAATATGATGTCGATGATAATCACTAGTACAAAACAGGATAGCCTAAATTATTGGAACCGTTTGGGAAAATGACCTCCCAAATGGTTACAACCGTTTGGGCAAGAAAAAAAACCCATTTGGGCTAAAGCCGTTAGGGATGACTTTTCCCCAACGGTCGCCCAAACGGTTACAACCATTTGGCACAAAATCCAAACGGTTGTAACCGTTTGGGATGTAAAAACTGTCCAAATGGTTGAAACCATTTGGACAAATTTTTGTCCAAACCGTTTCAACTGTTTGGACAAAAATCTGTCCAAACGGTTTCAATTGTTTGGTTTGTTGATTTTTAACATTTTTAAAAAATTTAGTTGTTTTATTTATCTACTTTCTTACATTTAATACATCTCACACACTGATTTCTCAATATTTCACAATTAAATCGAAAATATATACATACACAAAAATGTCTCAAATGGTGTTAAATATCCAATATTATTCTGCTTACACTTAATATACACATTTCACACAATGATTTCTCAATATCTCACAATAAAATCAAAAATATATACATACGTAAAAATGTCTCCAGCGGTGTTAAATGTCCAATATTATTTATACATACACAATGATTACTTAATATATAATATTAGAGACAAAACATATACATATGCGATGATTATTCAATCTCTCTCTCTGTTGAGTAATTTCAAAAGAGATGTATCATATAATTTCAAAAGAGATGTATCATATAATTTCAAAAGAGAGGATAATAGTGGCAACTCTTCCATCAACACTTCCATCAGAACCCACTGCTAGCTTGTCAATGTGAGCCCCCTACAAATAATGACATAACACTTCAAACTACAGGTTCAAAAAAATATTGTAAAGCAGTAAAGTCAAAATTAAAGTCACCTTTAATATTTTGATGCCCGTTTCAGAATAAAGATCTTCATATCTCTGAGCGAGCGAAGGAGTGAATAACCTTGTCATCAAATTAAGCGTCATTAATTTGTAAAAGTACATACAGTTTCAAAGGGACACAAAACATAATATGTTAATCTCTATAGCTTACATGTTAAAATGATAAGGTTTCCCCTAGCTATGCATAATATCTGAATGTGATGAAAGTAGACATATTGACAAGTAATGATGATTTGCATGAAAAGCAGGTGCAATAGGCTAGTAAAGCAAGCAAATGGAATTAAGAACAAGTAAAGAACTCAAACCCTACAAATTACAAAAACTTCAATGAGAAGGATACTTAAGGGTTGCTGTTTCGCCATTTTTGCAGATCTCACCAGTGCAGAATGCAGCATTTCGCCTATTTGTTGCTTCTGATGATGAAAGTTCCTTAAGTACCAAAGGCATCACTTTCTGAAAAATGAATTAATACACACATGAGATGAGATTAGCCCATGTAATAAAGATAGAATACATATTCATAATTACTGGTTTTCAGAATAAACTCATACATTCACATAACCAGAAATTGGAGCACCCATCCCCTGAGCAACTTCAGCCAGACAAGCAACCACCATTGTCCGGTCTTGAGGAGGACATGGGACTCTCTACAGTTAATGGTTCGGTCAAGGAAATTAACAGCAGCAAAGAATAAGTTGCTACTTCATTACATGGCATCTTCAATTTTTTTTAGTATAAAACATGTATCAGATAACAAAATAGCTCACCGCAAATCTCATTAGGGGATCAAATAAACTAGCCAAAATAGGCTCAAAATCAGAACCCATTGCCTTAGCCAAAGCAGGAAGAATATCTGATACTGCATCCATGAGCACTTCATCATGATCAATATCACCTTCATCCATAACAGAATCGGAGTCCACTTGTTGACAGGTTGAATCTTCTCGCAGCAGGGCAAGAGTTACCCCAACAAGTTGAGGGATATCTGAAATAAGGTTTTACATATTTTTGTAATTTCAACTAAGACCTTCATTAAATTTTACGTATGCTATATGTTAGTATTGATACCATATCTTTCAGAACTATGATAAGCACCAAAATAATAAAAAGTTAAAAAAGAACATAAAACCACCAAGGAGTTGAGTAAATTCTTACCAGATAGAGAGCATTCCTCTCTTTAGAAAAAGAAAAAAAGAAAAAGAATAGCATGCCAATTAGAAAATTTCCCACTGTGTTTACCAAAAGTTTACCAACACAAAAGAGTATCAAAAATTGGAAGTCAATAGTCAAGATGCTTGAGTACAAATTAACATTATTAGTTTACATTTAGTGTGAATGCATAATGACTTCCAATTTTTGATTCTCTTTTATGTTGGTAAACTTTTGGTAAACACAATGGGAAATTTGAATATCTCTTTTAAACCAATAATTTCTTCTTCTGAAAGATTCTCTGCAATCACCTGAAAGCGTATAGTTTATAATAAATAAGGAAAAAGAATACCAGATAGAAGATAAATAATAATGAATGGATGAGTATCAGTCACCTTCAAGGCTACTTTCTTAAGCTTGTTCATTGCTCTGAACTTTCTCATTCTTGCTGTAAAAGAAAATAGTAATAAAGCAACATATCAGTTCTGATTATATTGGTGCTATTGACACAATATTATTAGATCTGAATCCTAGACGTGAATAAGATCCAAACATAAAGCATACACAACAACGAAAAGTAAGCACAGTAGTAGCATCAATCATCACCAGATCTCATTCCGAAGAGGGACAAACCTTTGGAATACAACCGATGGAAACGAGCTGGGTAAAGGTCTGGGGCTGGGGCTATAAAAGGGGAGGCAGAGGAGGAGGAGGAGGCGGAGGAGGAGGAGGAGGTGGAGGCATAGGAGCGCCGGCGAAGATGAGGGAGGCGGAGGGGGTACGATGGCCCACGGCGAAGATGAGGGAGCCCTGGGCGAACGTAGATGAGGCGAAGATGAGGTGCGTTGGCTGGCGGTATCGGACATATTTCGACGGGGTCGGATGAGGCGAAGACGAGGTGGGATTTGAGAGTGCGGTGGGGGTAAGGGATTTTGGGGATGACTTTAATTTGGAGCTGGGATGAAAATTTTGGGGATCACTTTAATTTGGCGCTGGGACCAAAATTTTGGGGATGACTTAAATCTGGCACTGGAATGAAAACTTTGGGGGGAACGAAAGGAAAAAGGCTTTCATTTTTTGGAAAAAAAAACTCCCAAACGGTTTTAACCATTTGGGTTGAGATATTCCAAATGGTTAAAGCCATTTGCTTCAGCCGTTTGGGATTTCTCAATAGCCCAAACGGATTTACCCATTTGGGTTTATTATCCCAAACAGTTATACCCATTTGGGTTATTTCTACTTGTTCAAACGGTTGTAATAACCGTTTAGACAGAGCTGTTTTGTACTAGTGAATGTCGATGATGGTATCGGAGATAAAAGTGAGGATGATATTGAAGTTGAAGCTGAAGAGGTAGGAGATGTCAAAAAGTGCCAAAAATATTGATGATATGCATTCCTCCATAAAAATAAAGCGAATAATTGAGCTACTAGAAGATAGTGAAAATGACTTATATGAGGGATGTACCGAGTACTCAAGATTTTCATTTATATTGAAACTCTTACATGTTAAGACACTTAGCGGAATGTCAGATAATTATTTTAAAATGCTTCTTGATTTGCTTCGGACGGTAATTCCTGGAGGAGAGATTAGCATACCCTAAACAACTTATCAAGTTGAGAAGATTGTCTTCGCTCTGGGTCTTGATTACAATAAGATTGATGCATATCAGAATGATTATATTTTGTACAACAAAGCTAATAAAGACTTTCAAGAGTGTCCGACATGTGGAGTTTCTAGGTGGAAACAATGCACAAACTCTTCAACAAGGATTACAACGGAGACAATGGTAACACAGAAGAAAATTCTAGCGAATGTGCTTTGACATTTTCCATTGGCTCCTAGTTGCGACGATTGTACATGAATACGGACATGGAAAAGAACATGAGGTGGCACAATGAAGATCGAGTAGATGATGGTAAACCGAGACATCCTGCTAATGCTTTAGCTTGGAAGCATATTGATAAAATTTATCCTTGTTTTGCCGAAGATTATAGAAATATAAGACTGGGTCTATCTAGCGACAGATTCAATCCATTTGGGGTAATGAGCTCTGGTTGGTCTATGTGGCAAGTTGTATTAATGCCATATAATTTACCTCCATTGCTTTGTATAAAATAGTCGTTTATGATACTTTCATTACTGATACCCGGCAAGCATGTACCGAGTAATGATATTGATGTCTACTTAGAGCCTCTAATTGATGAGCTGAAATAATTATGGTCTAAGGGTATTTTAGCATATAATGCCCATTTAAAAGAGTCGTTTAGATTACTTGCTATTCTATTATATATGATTAATGATTTTCCAGCTTATGCTAATCTGTCTGGTTGGTCTATGAAGGGCAAGTGTGCTTCTCCTGTATGTGGTCCGGAATTTGAAGCTCTTCAATTACTACACAACCGAAAGAGTTGTTATTGTTAGACCCTAGAGGGGGGTTGATTAGGGTCTTATACTAATCTAATCCGATTTTATGCTAATTAAAACTTATTAATAAATATATGCTTGCAAAATGATATACAAATACTTATGAGCAAGAATATGCAATATACACAAGGTGATATATCCTAACAAAGAGGTATACTATATGATACATGCAAGGATATGCAAACACAAGGGTAACATAAACAAATATAGTGGATAAACTAGATAATGAGACAATGGCGATATGAGCAATGAGCACAAATATAAATGAACGCCAAAGCACACTCAAACACAATCAAATGATCACGGAGTTTGGACCTTCCGTCCTACGTCTCCGCTCCCCACTCCCGGGGAGAAATCCACTATCACAATCCGGTTTGGAAGCCGGAACTTCTACACACCTCACACTCGGTTTTTTAGCTAACCGAAAACTTTATAATCAACACTCTTGTAATCACACTCTACACCCTCTCAAGTGTTGGACCTAGACGTATCTCCGTCAAATGCTCGGATACCACCTCTTCCTAGGTTGGTCAACCGATGCCACTCCTCTTGGGACGATCCCCGACTCTCACCACACACTTCTCTCGGTGTACAAGTATATTACAAAGTGATCCTCACACTAAAGCACAATATAACAAATGATTTGTTCTCTAATATGGATGAGAACACAATGAAAGCTCACACTCAATTGTTACAACTCTCACCAACCCAAATATACTAGTATGTAAATACTAAAAGCTCAATGTGGGTGTGTGTAACAATGAGATTAATCAAATCTAAACTCAATATAAAACTAGCTTTAATAAAATGATAATCAAAACAAATAGATATAAAGCTAGAAATAGAGTTTAGAAAACTTCTTAATAGATCAAGAGGAAGAGGAAGAATGGTTGGATGCTCAAGTACCAATGGTTGATCTCCTCAAGCTCTTGTGAAATTGATTTCACAAAACAAACTCTCAATTTGCTTAAAAGCTTCTTAAACAAACTTAAACCAAACTTAAACCAAACTTAAACCCTTGTTTAAAACTCTTTAAACTTGTTTAAAACATTTCATTAGTCCTTTAGAACTGAGGATATGTAGGGGTATTTATAGGAACCCCAAAGAACCAAGAAAACCCAAGTGAAAAGTCCAAAAAACCAAAAAACAACTCAGCCAAAAACTAGTCGTTACAGTGTTATGAGTCGACTCGGTACTTTTCATGAGTCGACTCATAAACTAGCCGTTTTAGGCAAAATATATCTGATGGGTCGACTCATATGTTCATGGGTCGACTCGTGCACTGTTCATGGGTCGACTCATGCATTTATGGGTCGACTCATCAGGTTTGAACAGTATCGGCAGATCTGGAATTTTTACGTAGCTGGCTTTGTAAAATACATTAAAAATATTAAATAAAATTATGAAAATTTGAGAGACATTTCTATACATGTAGATAAACATTTTAAAGAAAGAATTTATGAAATATCACTTCCCATTTGTGAGAAATAAATATTTTAATACATATATTCCAGATTCTAAAAACTGCTGAGACACACGATTTTGTAAAATCAATTTAATATAGTAAATCAACTCCCAAAATCATGAAACTTTGGGAAAACTTTATAAACATGTAAATGAACATGTTACAAAAAGAATTTTGCAATTTGTACTTCCCAACAATGAAAACTCATCATTTTACAAAAAACATGCACGAACATGAACTTGTTAAGAACTTGATTTTGACAAACTGAGTTCAAACAAATTTTAAAAACTTTCCAATAGATTTATAGACTTGATAAATGATATGAAATATTTTTATTAAGTCTATAATCCAAAAATACAATATATTTTGTAAACACAATTGAATATGAAACAAGTGAGTATGCATATGAACATGTATATTTGTTTCATATCTATATAGCTATACCAAAACAACTTATCCACATAAACAAACATGTATGTATATAAATATTCATTTGGAAAAATGTTGTTTGTGGATAAAACGAAAAAAATGGATAAACCAAGAAAACGTGTGTGTGTGTATAATATTGAGCTTGAAGTATTAAACACACATAATATAAAACCTATACTATATTACCCAAGCTATGATCTTGATCTTCAATAAGCTCTACTTGGTACACTTGCGGATGAAGCTTGAACTTGAATCTTTAACTTGAATTATAAGGCTTCACTCTACGATTCCGCCAACCTCCATTGGATATGATCGTTATGGCACAATTCTATCCATCCTCCAACTTGTTGTTTGTCTATAATAAATGAAAAAACCACAGACACTAGACAAACAACGTTAGTAGTAAATTATTTGTTAAACATCATCAAAACAAGAAGGCCAACAGTTATTGGTTTAATCGTAGGTGGTTACCCTTGAGTCATAAGTATAGAAAATTATCAGCTATGTTTTGATGGCACAGTTGACAAGAGAACGAAGCTGCGTTAGCTAACAGACGTTGAGATCATAAAATTACTTGAGGGGTTTCCAAAAGTTAGTTTGGAAAAAATCGGTATTCTAAATTCAATCCGCTCGGAGTAAGAGATTCCTTAAAATCAAAAAATCAATAATGCTTTTCATAATAATATATCTTATGAGCATGTATATATATTTTTTTCTTAACTATGTTAAAATTTGAATTTGTAGATGAGGAATGTGAGGAGGCTCTTTAGTGGTGACCGTGATCGATCATGGAGTATCACCCCGGGTACTGGTAATGAGGAGACACCACCATCTCCGAATGCAGGTATATTTTGTTTAATATTTTAATATCTTTTATAAATTATTTGTTATCTAGCTCATAGTGTTCATTTGTTGTAGATGCGGGTTATTCAACACCCGACCCCTCTGATGCAGCACCAGAACCATCCCCCGACATCAGTATTTAGTATTTAATATTTGATTTTGGTCAATTTAAAATTTATATTAATGATACTCTTTTGTTATGTAGATGATTAATGGACGCCATCATTTCCTTCATATACATTCCAGGCTGACTTGCGCCTGAAGATGCAAGACTATCGCAGTTTACCCTTCCCTATGGACTCTTATAGGTCAAGGACTAAATCAGTGAGGCACCATCCACATGCTGCGCGATGATTAGAGGAGATGATGCCTATGTTGGAGACTAGGAAAGCTGTTGCAATCACAGCCAAAGAAAGGGAGATAACAAATGGTAAATTTTATAAATACTTTTTATTTTCACATTTATATATTATATGATATATTATCATATTGTTATTATTATAGGTGCTAAGCCAGATCGCATAGAGGGACGACGTGGCAGGGATAAGCCTGGGTCTAAACAACCGCCAAGAGGCATGAGGGCCATTATTCGGTAGAATAATGACACGTTGCCCGTTGGTGCTTGGTTGTCCAGATTGAATTCGTATATCAGGGTTCTCGTGCGCAGAGCGAACATCATCAATCCTTATTTTAATTTTCAAGAACTACCATGGACCGCCTACGAGGCGATATGGAATGAGCTTATGATAAATTTATATTACTTTAGCTTTTCATTTATTAGTAATTAGTAATTAATATTAAATTATCCTAACTGAATGTATATGCAAATTTACAGGAAAGCTTCTACCTCGAGGACTTTGATGGGGCTTGACATTATGTTTTTAATGTC